TATTATTATTATTATTATTATTATTATTATTATTATTATTATTATTATTATTATTATTATTATTATTATTATTATTATTATTAATTCAGACTTCAAGTGTATAATTTCATCTTCAACCTGGCACCTTCCAGGTCTGAACTTCTAGGAACTGCAGCTCAAAATGTCTGGAAAGAACAAGAATAGGACAAGCTGCTGAAGACTAATAATGACCTGATTCATTGTGTGGGTTCTAATGAGGTAAAGAAGCACCAAGAAGGAAATATTGAAGACTTATAGTATTCCCAAGTTTGGGGAGTAGAATTACGCTATCTCTCAACTTGCCCCATACATATCCTTTAGAAAAAGTCAAAATTGGGAAACAAATCTACATTGAGGGGGGACACAACACAATTCAGCAAGGGTTGTGTGAAAACGGTGGCCATAGATTTCTGACTGAGTATAAGGACAGGAGATAGATCCCCGAGCGAAGGGAAAATAGTGAATGGAGCATTTATCAAGAAAATAAGTAAATAACCTGGAAGATGATTACACTGACTAGCTGGAATCCCCAAAAAAGCAAATCACTTATCCTGATGTGTATTTATATTTTTCTGCTCTAGTACAAAAAGAGAGCTCAGGGATGGGGTATAAGATTTATAGAGCTAATTTTTTTTTGCCACATTTCTTCCATACTGTTAAACATCAATTTTACTGATAACAGAATTATGGTATGTGCAACATAGTATTTGATCATGATTTCCACTTACAAAGAATAGTCCATTTTTCTGTCATTCTGAATCAGGTTCATCTGAAGCATAAAACTAGACACAAAAGAAATAAATGCTGAACCTATTTCTCCTCTATTAATAGGATCTGATGTTACTATTAGAATAAAGATTTATTAATGGGTCTTATACTGTTGTTGTTCCCTGATTTTGTATACATAATTGACAAAATAATGTATTAGAGTCAATAAATCAATAGCAGTTGCACCTGGATAGGTACCAAATCTATTTTCTTGCTTGTCGCTCTTCTGTTCTTGCATGGACCCATATAGGAATATGGTTATTACTGAAAACCTCATCCAAAGGCTATAAATACTCTTGAAACTGAAATAAATGCAACTTGTAGCATTTCAGTTCAGAATTTTGCTGACTTTCTTCTGTCTCACCATTTCATGAGTTGTTTTGTTTTGCTTCCAATCTTCTGAGTCACAACAAAAGTGGAAGTGGTTGTCAACCTAGGCCTCAAAGCCATGAAAGGTGTTTCCCAAGGGTAGGATTTAATGATCGTTGGGAAATGAAAGGACTATATGTTAAAAAATCTTCATGGAGATTGACTGTCTTTATGGAATAGCTTGCATTGCTTTCTGAGCAGCGTTGTCTGCAGGGAAAGTCGTAAAAGTCAGAGGGCAGTCACAGCTATGTGATTGAAGCCCTACTTTTTTTTATGTGCATCACAGTTGCCCTTGTTTCTGAGGAAAGGCAAATAACGCCAAAGCTAAGCAGCTTCAGGGCCACTGGGACTGCAGGGAAGGGTGGATTGGAATTCAAAATGTTGCTAGTGGCATCTAGATCAGAAATTAGTAGCCTGATAACTTTTTTATGCTGCCTTTTCCAAAAGTGAATGACATTAGCTAAGCCGTTTTGAGGCAGGAAAGAATAAAATGATAACATGAGGTCAGAAAATAGACTTAACATAACATTTCATTTTAAATCAAACCATTCTAATATGAATAATTCTTTAATTTCTTATTTCTTCCACTTGTTTTCACCCAGCCATTTTGGATTGTATGCTTGATATTTTGGCTTTTGACTGTAAATATACTTTAATAATTTTATGCTTAACATAGTTAAAAAGAGATGTACTAGTTAAAACCTCAATTAGGGAGTCTGAGGTTCAAAATCTCTGCTTCATCATGGAGTTTATTAATTACTTGTCCTTAGTCCAACGTATCAAGATGTATTATGGGATAACATTAGAGGAATTCTCCTATATTATTACTTATCCTTTATGAGACACATGGGTTATAAATCCAAATAAGTAAGCAAAGAAGCAAAAGTTCTCAAAATTATTGCAACAAAAATATTCTGTGTGATTCACTTTGTAGCATCAATTTACTTATTGAGCCCCACATTTCCCCTCTGCTAAGGGAGGTATCATATAGATTTACAGGACTGAATGTCATCAATATCCTGATTACCTTTATCTAAATTTGTGGATTTTTAAGAACAAATTGTTTTAAAAGATTTGAGAAAGAGCAAGAAGTACTTTCTTTTAGGTTTCTCTTCTGTCTTGGATAGAATTCTTAGGGCTAAAAAGAAACCACTGTGCCTAAAAATACATCCCATGTTTTTAATCATTGCCTGGACTGTGCTACTAAGTTTAAGAGTCCATTATATATCTTTTCCTTTCAGAGTGACATGTCTGCCCTGGGAACATCAGGTCTATTCTTCAAAGATGGCAAAAAACGTATTGATTACATTTTAGTCTACAAAAAATCCAGTCCTCAAATTGAGAAAAGAAGCACCTTTGAAAAGAATTTACGAGCAGAAGGATTAATGTTAGAAAGAGAGGTGGGTAGTGTTTTCTATTTGCTCAAAATGGCAGCTACTGTGGGGAAAATCCATTAGATGATTTGCCTTTTACTGAAGTGATTGCAGGATTAACTGGGGCTTACCTTCAAAGAAGGGTAGAGTAGAATGGTGGTAGGGTTAGGAAAACAGGCAGGTTGAGAGATAGTGTAAAAAGTAGGGAAGGGAAGGAGGAGAAAAGCAAATAAATATTTTGTAAAAAGGAAGAAAAGAGGGAAACTAGTAGTCCATGTGAAAAGCTAAAAATAATTCTGTAAATGAGTATGGAAGAGTTTTGTTGATGGACTTCTTTAAGGAGAAACAATTACTGTTTGATCTGATCATACAGTATTTTTCTCAAATTGTTCAGAATCAACCAAACCTCTGAGAAAGTAAGTGAAAGGTGATTTTATAACCTCCTCTCCCACCTAAGATGCAATGCTTTAAGGAAAAGGACATTTTGGGCTAGTGGCAGTGAGATTTTAAAGCATTATTTATGCCCTAAATAAAGTTAGGGGGGAAAAAGGACACCACTTCTCACGAAATAGATTCAGCTTCCTCGTAAGTACAGCAGAGCAATCATAAAGAAGAGGGAAGAAAATGACAGATTGCCAATTGCTTTGCAGCATAAGATAAAAACAAGGATGGGGGGGGAGAGAGGCAGTTGGGAGGGACTACTGTCTTTTCCTTAGTCTTGTGAGGGTAGCATGAACAGGAAGTCTTTCTAGTAGAGCAAAGGTTTTCTTTCCTCAGTCCTCCAGAAGGTCTGGTTTGCAGCAGAACATACCTGTAATATTAGACGACATGTGCAATTTTCTTTGGTATATAGCAGTGATGGCGAACCTTTTAGAGACTGAGTGCCCAAACTGCAACCCAAAACCCACTTATGCATCGTTGAGTGCCGGCTGGGTGTGGCCAATTGGCTGGGCGTGGCCCATTGGGTGGGCGCGGCTGCGGTAGTAATGGCAGACTGGGTGGGACTAAAAAGTTCAATCAATTCCAACTTTGCAAGATCTTTTTTTTTCCCGTGAGAAGTTGAAATTGACTGATTGAACCTTTTTTTTTTTTTGCACATGGCGGCGGAGGCCTAAAGCGAAAAGGTTTTTAAAACCCAGCTGAAGGCCTAGGACTGGGGCGAGGGCAGGCGTGCCCACAGAGAGGGCTCTGAGTGCCGCCTCTGGCACCCGTGCCATAGGTTCGCCACCACTGATATATAGAACTGCTTGAATAGATGTCTTCCTGCCATGAACTAGTCAACCCTCCCCTCTTAACACCCTTGTTTGAAGGATTGTTCTGTAATTTATTAAGAATAGTCAAAAAATAACATGATTTTATGGGATAACATCTATGGAACTTCTGAAGAATTGTAATAACTCTGTTCTTTGATAAACTGCAATCCTAGCTAGATTACAGGTAAGCCAAAATTCCTCTCTTTTTTGACCAAAGAAGAATACATGCAGGATATTTATACTTTCCTTAGAATTATCTTTCAAAACAAGTCCAAGTAGACAGCTAAAAAAAAAAAAAGACTGTTCTTAAATACCATACACCCATATAACTAACTGTGAACTTTTTTAGAGCAAAATTTTAAAAAAATGCCACCCGGATCTAAAAGATTTGTGCTTGTTACGTTGTTTCTTTTTTGCAGCCAGCTGTTACAAACAATGACATTATGTTTGTAAAAATCCATTGTCCTTGGGACACACTCTGCAAATATGCTGAAAGAATGAACATTAGGATGCCTTTCAGGTAACAATAAAATGCTTAATTTTGTCACTTGTTAAATTAAGAATATATTTTTCTAACAAGCACATTTATTCATAGCTATCTTAATAGTAGTAGCAATAGCACTTAGACTTATATATCATCTCTCTGAGTGGTTTACAGAGTCAGCATATTGCACCCAACAATCTGGGTCCTCATTTTACTGACCTCAGAAGGATGGAAGGCTGAGTCAGCCTTAAGCCTTATCAGGATTGAACTCCAAAATGTGGGCACAGTTCACATGCAATATTGCATTCTCACTACTGTGCCACCAGGACTCATTGACAAACGCAGTACATTCTGCAAGGGATACTGTTGCTTCAGATATCGTTGTGTTCAACCAGTCACTGGGGAATGGGATCTTGTCTGGGAAGTTTTTAATATAGGGAACAATCATGATTACTGGCACAATATTCCAGGGTTCATAGCACTGGGTATGGCTAAGAGAGGCAGAAGGTCTTCAGGAACCAACCCTCTCTATATTTCCATCATGCAGAACAGAACTAGTAAGTTAGGTGCACCATTTTCTTTTCTACTGCTTGCAGTCAAATGCAAACAAACCTCCATCTTCAGTTTAATATTTTTATTACAGCTAACAAAGATATCAGATATTAGAGTAACCCAAAGTTTTTTGTCACAATTGCTCCGCTAATCCATTGTTGATTCCATAAGCAATAGACAAAGTAAAAGCCAAAGTGAGTCCTTCTAGACATTGTGGTCACTCTCAAATGTACCTGTGCTATGTAATTTGGATTCATCCTTCTAATATGATGAATTTGTACAACTGATAGAGAAATTTATGCAGTTCATTTGCTTGTGCACATTTGGTACACTGAAAGCTGTCTTGAGGCACAAGTTTCCATAATTTTGAAATATTCAAAGCAGCTATAATTGGTTCCCTGATTTAATACAAATTAATACCGATGGAGGATAAGTGCACCTGCTGGCTCATAGGTTTTAATTGCAACCTCCAGTTATTTACTCCAGAGAAAAGGTCTTGAACTTAGTGGGGCTCTTCCAGAAATAAGTACATTATATCAATTGCCAGAAAATGATCCATTGGCTTTAAGAGAAAAATACAAATCAATTTCAGGGAATTATTACATTGCTCTTTAGCAATGCTATAAACAATCCACAATTTCCCTCATATTAATTTCATTCAGGAAAAAAATTGTAAACGATGAGCAAGGAAAGATTAATAGTAGGTGTCATTTTAGCAAGTTTTCCTATTGTCCTTAATAAAGAACTTTGCTCAGATTTTTTTCTTGCATATTGAAAGAATTAAAATGACATTCCTTTAGATCAGCAGTCTCTAAACTTTGTGGCTTGGTGGTCTGGCTGGGGGAAGAAGATGGGAATTGGGCTGTGTGATTGGCACAAGTAGTGATTGCATGAGTGGTGGGCTGACACAAGTGGCAAGCTGGCAAGCATGTGCAAAAGTGCCTGCCAGCCCGACATTCATGCAGGTTGTGCTACGCACATACGCGCATGCACTCTGGCCAGCCACTCATGTGGTCCAATTCCAAATAGGCCACGGCCTGGCCGTGGGCTGCAGCCTGGGGATTGGGGACCCCTGCTTTAGATTTTAAGATTTAAAAACTGATGGGATCTTCAACAGAATCTGCTGCACCCACTACACTTTGGTATCCTTAAGTCTGCAACAAAACAAAGAGAATCAGAGTGGTATAGTATTTAAGAAGCTGGATTTAAGATTCAAATCCATCCTTAGCCACAAATACTCAATAATGAGTTGGGCCTGCTTCTATCTCTCAACCCAAGTAACTTCATAAGCTTTTTGTTATAGGGAGTTTTAAGCTCCTGTATTAAATGTAGAATATAAATCTAATCATAAATAATCCTGCTATGATGGAATTGAGGCCTTAAATTAGATTTGGGAGTTTCATGTACAAATGTTGGCTAATAGTCCAGCACTTACCCATGTACTTCTGGCTCATGGATCTCTCTTCCGGTCTTGTCCAATTACCCTGCTTAATTTGAGCTTTATCGTAGGCAGCTCAGCAAACTATCCAAGTAGTAGGGAAAGGCCATGGGGCCAGAGCAATGTTCTTTGTTCCAGTGTATAATATTTAGAAGGGGGTAGATTGGGGAAATGAAGTTACACTGAATCTGGGCCAATTCCTGAAATTGACAAAAATGCTCCCCTTCTCTTTAAAAATGCCCAGCTGAGGGGAGAAACTACATGCAAGTTAATCTAATTTTCTGTCCCTGATTTAATGACATTATTTTAAGCATAGGACTCCTTTGGGCATTGGTATAAGATTACTGCTGAATGCTGAAGAAGATCTAACAATTTTCCTATCAGTGCTGCCCTTAACTTTGATTCAAAATGAATTAAAGATACTTTAACAACCTCTCAAACCTATATACTTTGACATGTGTTTGAGCCTTTGGGGTACTGAGCCTGAGCCAAATATTTAAAGATTCCCAACATGTTGCAATTTTTCTTTTTGAACAACTCCTTCAGAGAACGCTGAAAGTCCAAAATATAGGATTTTACAATTTGCTACCCAACATGCAGAATGTTTGACTTTGCTCAACAACTAGCATTTTTAGATTAGCTGAGATCTAATTTTGTTATCTCATTAGCATAACAAGGTTGCTTAATTGTCCTGCTTTCCAGGTACACCATCAATCTAATATAATATAGCTTTTCACTACTGTGGATTACATTGCTTACCAATGAGAGAGGTACATACAGTCAGTGGTGGGATTCAGATATGTGAACAACTGGTTCTCTCTGTGGATGTAGCTTCCGGAAGTCCATTCTGGGCCTGGGCAACAAAAAATTAGCTACCGGTTCTGCCAAAGTGGTGCAAACTGGCTGAATCCCACCACTGCATACAGTATGTAAGATATATATACACACAGTTTGTACATATATGCACACAAAACTTCCCCACGCTTGTTCCTCTTCAACTGGAGAAGTTCTCTTTCTAATAATCATAGGGAGTATGCCAGTTAGATTATCACTGAGTAATTATTGAGTTTTACTATGAAAAATTGTTTCAATAGTATCATACTACTACTATGGAGCCAATCTGGTAATCTAATAGAGAGTTAGTAGGGAGCCTTAGCACCAGCTATCATGGGAAAGAAGGGCTACTGAGTGTCACTTTTAACTGACAACTATTGTGTTGCCTACCCATGACTCATAAATCAAGTCACTCAGTCTTTGGGGAGGGGGAGGTAGTGGTCATTTTTAAGTGTGATTTGTCTTTTAAAAAATCTACAATTTGAATTCCACATGAATGCATCAATTTTCCCAACTAAATCAATACACATTTAAAAATGGAAAAAATAATACAAGGCAAAATTCCAACAGCATGAAGAGCCTATGCAATTATTTTCTATGGCATGCCTTTATGTATTGTATTTCCAAAATGGTCCTCTTTGCATTTATTACCTCAGATAATATTGGAAGATGTATAGATATATATATCATTCAGACTTTATTGTAATCATTTAAGGATAATCGATACTAGTGCAAACAGAAGCATCTCTGCATCCAACTATCTACTGCCCATGACTTGTGTATACACTATTAGCTGATATTTTTGTTCATGCTATTCGTGTTAACAGTTAGATTTAAGTAGCTCAGTTTTTATCCATGTCGTTGAGCTTCTGTCCACTTTCCTTTTGTAACCATGCATGTTATGAAATTACGAAACTCTATATCTTGTATGTATTTCCTTCACCCTGATGTGAAATTGTACTCTGATGATTTTTGCTGTTCTTTCAGGAAAAAATGTTATTACACTGACTGGAGGAGCAAAACCATGGGCAGGTTGGTGGGTGATGCATAGCTTTTAATTTTACCAGATAGTCATCCCATATATAATAAATCCATTCTAGCAGTTGTAAATTTATCACAATGGGTTTTGAGAAAGCTGATTGAATAATGGAGGCAGTAGAACTTAGATGCTTATTTATTTTCAGCTTTAAGCATGTGACTGACCTCACCAGAAATAAGATAATCCAGAGTATCTTCCAAAGCAGTGATTATGTTTTATTAGTAAATAACAATTAGGTTCAAATAAAAAAGGTATGAAGAAAATGGATCTTAAAATCTCTGAAGAGCCAGAAGATTGTAGAGCTTAAGTTTTGTATTGGTTCCTTTTCCCGTAGTATGAAATCTTCCAAAGAACATTTACCTTGAGGAACCTGTATATTAGATTTCAGGTCATGTAACATATCCCTATTCATTGTTAGCCATTTCCCTGTGATATCAACAGCCACCATAGCCCATCACATTACATTTAGGAAGGAGATAGAAATATTGTCTCCTTTTAAGCTTTCTTCCTTGACTCCAGTCCATGATTCCAATTGATGAGCTTTCATTAAGGCCCCTTCAGGTGAACATGACAAAGACACACTGAGATCATATATATTGAGCATATAATCTCATTGGTGGCATCTTGAATTGCATCTCCGCCCTGATAATGTTGATGATGATGAGAGCTACTCTGGGAAATCAAAAACATTTAAAAACAAAGAATACAAAAACACAAAAACAAAAGACAAAAGAACAATAATGGCAAAGAAAACAAACTCAGAGAAGTAAAGAAAGAAAGTAAGGTAAGAAAGTGGTATCAGACATCCTGCTAAAGATCTAGATGAAGACCCAAACCTATAGGGACTTTTGAAAAATCAATAAGGTGGGAGTCGTTTGAATCTTGAACTGAAGATAACACAGGGAAACTGCACTCTGGTGTGGAAAGTCTCAATTATTGCTTTTAAATATAAACTTTAAAACCCTTTTTCAAATATTGGTATTTCCAATATTAACATAAATGTTTTATGAAGAATTTTTGCTCCATCCAGCTATTTGTTTTGTTTGGGGTTTTTTGGGGTTTTTTTTGTTGGTTGTTTTTTTTTTGAAAAAAATGTATTATTTCTCATGGAATTTAGATAAGTTCTACTGCACTTCCATCAAACTCCATTAGGCAGTGTTGGTGGGTTTTTGTTTTTCATGTAACAGAATGTGAAGTTGTCTTATTGTAAAGCCAATTTCTCCTGTGATGGATTTACTCCATATCAAAATTTAATTGGAAGGAAAAGCAACAAACAGAATGACACAATGGTCCTAACTCTGTTTCAAAGTAATCATCTTGGATATTGCAATTTTACCTTGTCTTTACTTCTGATATTGATTCAGTATCTAAGTTAAGTGAAGATAATGAGAGTAAGGTAATGATCTGAGTAGGATTTCTAGGAATATACATATTGTCAATATTCAGGATATTTCATATGTTAATTATTTTGTGTGAAAGCTATTGCTTTTCACATGCAGATATTAAATATTTATATACTTTTTTATAGTAAAAATTTACAACTGCTTACTTCCTCTCCCCAATCATGCACGTGCTTGCTTTGTATCAGATAGCTCTCCTATATTATATACATAATTATGCTTTAAATGATGTGAAATAAACCATTTTCTCTCAAGGGATTAAAGTCTAGGCAAGAATCATGTTCAGGCTACATTAATAAAAATGACAATTTACTGTATATCCTAGGGAATTATTATGGTGAAAGTTGAAATTCAAAACAATGGATTTATAATCAGAATTATATATTTGTGTCTGTTTGTTAGTTCTGTTCTCTAAACTTTGGTTTCTTCTGTTAGATAAAATTCCCAAAGGGTAATCATAGCTAACCATCTTCAATTACATTAATACCAAAGCCACCTAGATTGTGACTCCAACAAAGTTTTAATCATTTTTTCTGGGATGTAGGCTTTTCTTTGAAAAGAAACAAAGAACACTTACTTTTCACTTAGTAAGGAAAGTGGGGGGGGAAGCAATACAACCCATAACCCAATACACTACAGTATGCTACTATAGCAATAGCACTTAGACTTATATACCATTTCACAGTGCTTTACAGCACTATCTAAATGGTTTACAGAGTCAACATATTGTCCCCAACAATCTGTGTCCTCATTTTATTGACCTCGGAAGGATGGAAGGCTGAGTCAACCTTGAGCCGGTCAAGATTGAAGGAATCAAACTCCAGGCAGTGTGAGCAGAGTTAGCCTGCAGTACTGCATTCTAATCACTGCGCCACCATAGCTCATATTAAATGAATATGTTTTTGGTTTTATTTTTGTCAGGTAAGACAACACATTTTTTTTTCATACAGTCACGTAGAACTACCATATGTCTGAGAGCAAGCTTAGTAAACATGTGGAATTGTATTGTACATTGTGAAATATGTCTTTCTGATGACTTGTTCTCACATGCCCATGTAATTTTTTAAACAGCTTGGTGCATGCTCATAATACCATTTAAAAGCACAGAGACATCAGGTTCTCTTTGTTTATGCTATCAAGGTAGCCAAGAGACTTTCGTGTGATTTCTAGGAGTCCTATATGAAGATGTATACTAAATCTGACCAAAGGCTTATGTAGTCCAGCATTCTCTTCAAAGATCAATCTTTCATATTCTTATCATTCTCTTTCAGTGGCCAATCAAAAATCAATGAGCAATCTCTGAGAGTGATAGCTTCTTTTCATTAGTCTCTCAATACAATGGGAGCTTGATGCCTCTGGTTTTGCTTGTAAAGAATAGCCATCGTGATTAGCAGCCACTGATAACTTTCCCATTGTTCAGCTAACCAGTATTTAAAGCTATCCAACTTGCTTGCTATTATCACAACACAGGATAAGAAATTCTATACAATAACTGTAGATTGTCAAGAACAGTCTTTTCTTCTGGGATCTTTCAGCCTTAAGCTTTCCTGAATAACTTCATTTTCTACAACTACTAGTATAGGAAAAAAAAATCCCATTCTTTTCTGGGAAATCCTTATCATAATCATCTTGATTGTTTTCTACACTTTATCTTAGACTCTTTCTTGGGGATTGGTGAAGAAGCACTACAGTCATACCATTAATTTGTAGAATGGTATGTTGTTATGTGCAATTTTACTTTCAATTTTCTTCCTATTGATTCTGAAAATGGATTTTTTTTTTACAATATATAAGTTCCTTACCTATTTAAGGGCTGCTTCAATGAACTGAGCGATTTTTTTTTCCATAAAAGGATGTTGCTTCTTAAATTATATTTTAAAGGCACCGTGATACACAGATAAACTCCATCTAGATTAATAATTGTATTCCAGTAAAACAGTATTAAATCACACAATATCCTGTTTAGTCCCAAATGTTTTCCCATAAGAGACCATCTTGGGAGGTTCACTTGCTGAACAGAAGTAAAAGAGCTTTCTCTGACAGCTACTCAACCCTGATAATAGAAGTTACTGTATATATCACTGGAGTTATTATATTGCTGTTGGTTACCTTGTCCCCTATGACTTTGTTAAACTTTGTTTGAGGTGATTCAGGTTGTTAGCAGTTAGTCTATGGAAATGACAATTCAGCGTTATCATTGTGCCAATGCATCTTAAACTCTGATCAAATATTATTCTTTCATATTCTTATCAATTTGTAGTGATATGTTCTGACATAAACCTCATTTATAAAAAAAAATTGCACCACAGTTTTAAAAAACAAATGCAAAGGCTTAAAATAGATTATGTTTATACACAATTATATCTATTTAACCATTGTAACCAAAGTTTATTTTGGCTTAACTGAAAGAATAATTCATCCATTTGCTGTTTGCACTCATTTCACATATGGTGACTATATAAATGGATTTGCTTATCATTAGTAAAAAAAATAATTTTGTTGTTTTTAAGATATTACTGTACATGAATATATACAAACTGTATTTTCCCTTTACATTTAAAATTGTAATTTTGCTTTTAAAACTGGACTATGTGCAAAAATGTCTACTTTTGTTAATTGAATGGATGACAGTGTAATAATGAAATGAAAAGCTGGAAAATTGTAGAAGTTGGATAACAGGGTTCTTTATTTTCCTCTTTTTAGCAAAATTTTAAAAAATATTTATGTACTAAAAATATTTTTCAGATGCTCCTTGAAAATATAAAACCTTTGTAAATGTTGTGCTTTCAGCTTTATACAGTATAGGCAGTAATGTGTTGGTAGGGTTTTGTGTAGTACACTCTGTCACAATATATACTGCTTCTTATATTTTAAGCCAGTCATATGCTCTTATAAGAACCTTCAAAAGAGGGCACCAGTTTGACCAATGAATATAAACTGGTTTACTTCTAATTATTTTTTGAAGAAACATTGAGACCGTTAGCAACCACCACCCACTTCTAGTTCTTCTGGGCAATGAAGGTGTAAATGTAGGAAGCAGTTATAAACAACTGCAATGGTTACCATGGTAAAAAAGTAATCATGATCTTCAATGACATTTTAACCAGAAAAGAATACAACACCAAGTTCATTGAAGAAACCATGACTTCCCTATCATGAAAATTGCACTTGAAGGACATTCCTAGCTTCTATTTTTAGTAGCTAGGACAAGCTATGACAATTTGTTACTGCAGATTTTAAAGACCTCTTGCTTTTCTACATATATTATTATAATTATTATCAAAAAGTACTCAGAGATGTAGTTATCTTCTATCATTGATTCTTCAGTGGAATAACTTTCTCAGGCAAAATTAGTGCCCAGTCTGGGAATCCACACCCTTGTCACACAAACACAGTTCAGTAATGCACAGCATTTCCATAATACACAAGGTTGAGATAGGTCTTATTAGAGACTGACTGATTGAGCAGTAAGTAACAGCAGATAAGAATCAGAGCTACCAAAGCTTCAGGAACTAGGCCCCATTGTTGAGCATGAGAAGCCAGAACACAGCATCAGTACCAGAGATCAAGGCCACCTTACCTTTAGTCACCCACCACCTGTTTACTGCCCTATCTCCCTGTGCTTGCCTTCTCCCTCTTAAAAAAACCATCACCTGATCCTTGACTTCCCATCTCCAGATCAAAGGGCCCTATCACAGACTAGAATAAGATGATAATCTTTCAAAATAATTGACCTATTTGTTACCCAAGTGCTTCTGCAAAGCATTTGGCACCCAGAATCAAGTCAGCCAGCCTATGTTTCTAGCCTCCTCCTATACACTCAGATATCTTAGTCATGTACCTAATGGTATCCTAAGGAATTTTGGGGAGGAGGTAGGTTTTTTTCCCCCTGCCTGGACAAGTCCTTGCAGTTTTCTTGGCAACATGGTTTGCCTTCTTCCTAGAGCTGAGAAGCAGTGAAGGAGTGTCTGGCTCAAGGTCACCCATCTGACTTTCTGCCTAAAGTGGGACTAGAACTCACATTCTTCCAGTTCTAGCGTACTCATCATGGATTTCTTTCATTGGAACATGAATTATTGTATAAAATATTCCACCAGGAAAAGCAGTCAAGCATCCTGTGAGTCCTGTGGATATAACATTAAATGTATGGATTTCTAGCACTTATTTTAACAGGATGTAGACTTTAAATAAAACTAAAATCTCTTTCAGAGTTAGACATTAAATGCATGCAAAAAATAGGATCCTTTGTTATTATTACACATTTTATCTTTTCCAATGCTTTCTTGGCATATGCTCTCTCTCTCTCTCTCTCTCTCTCTCTCTCTCTCTCTCTCTCTCTCTCTCTCTCTCTCTCTCTCCCTCCCTCCCTCTCCCTCTCCCTGTCTCCTAAGCATTTATTAAGACTGGCAAAGTTTTAATGCCACAACTCCTTACCCATTTATATGCACTAATAAGCAGGTATATCAGTTAAAGCTTAGACTGCCAGATCTATTTAGCTGAACTGCCAAGGAGCATGTGAATAGCTGTAGAACCTCCCCAAATGTCTGTTAAGCATTAGAGGCATTTAGAATTTTTGGAGAAGACATTAAATTGTGCTATCAACTTGGGGAAGCATGGACATACTCTCCTGAATAACCTCCCTTCCCTAAACTAACAGAGAATAATTTCATTTGCATTCTGTCCTTCTGCTACCATTACTGTCTTGTTCTATCTAACTAATATTATTCACAGGATTCCAGATATCTCATGACATTTGACCATGGATTCCCCTTCATGCTATTAAAGATAATTAGCTTTAATTTGAAATAGTAGCAGCAATGCTCTGACACCACAAATAACAATCAGATACCATCTAAAGATCTTATCTTACATTTTACATTCCTTGGGATTCAGGAAGGGGCAAGGACATATTAAACTTTCTACTTCCCACTAATCCTAATTTCAATCCAGATTGGGATATTTTCTGTGTACAATGAACCAAATCATGAGAAACTGGCATACAATGACATTCATTGGATATACTTTCTAGTTTAGATCTCAGTAGAACACTGTTCAGTCCTTACATATATCACTTGGGGGAATCTTCCTCTAAACTGGACTTCAAACAGATATGCGGTCTTCAACTCCCATCACTGGCCATATTGGAGTCCATACATCTGGAGGGCACCCAAACTGGAAAAGGCCATTTTAGAGCATTCCTACTAGCCATTTCCCTTCTTCCCACCATCATTAGAATTATGTTGTAAATTATAGTTATGTTTATTGCTTCACCTTATAGACTTTCTATATCTATTTCTTGTTTTGCTTTAGATGAAAAATAATTTTAAGAGACCATGTGATTGTTCCTTATTGTTTTGAAGTCTAGCATTGTCCTTCCAGTATCCATTTCAGCATATCACCTATATAATGAAAGGTATAAAAGACTTAAGATAGTAAAATGTGGTTTCTTTTCCCCAGTTTCCAGAGGAATATGAGGGAATTGAAAAGCTGGTTGCCCAGAAATCCAATGAAACTTGATAAAGAAGCTCTTCCTGATCTGGAAGAAACAGATTGCTACACAGCTCCTTTCAGCCGAGCACGTATTCATCAGTATGTGGTGAATTTAAAATATATTCATAGAGACCAGCAATAATGTTTCATTTTTTCTCTCTCAGGGGTTAACATAACAACATTCACCATTAAGAAATGCAATGTTCAAACTGAATGAAAAACATATTTCAAAAAATGCTGGAGTCTATATTCAACAATAAGTTACAGAAGGATTTTCAGCTGCATTGATCAGAAGCTGGTTCCACTCAACTAAAGTTGACTTTCTTAAATCATATTCATAATAGCTCAAAGACATAAGATTCAGTATAGTCCTTTGAACTTGTAATTATTTTAAGATGTTCTCTGTAATTGCTTCTTTGCATGGTGGCTTATTTCAAGGAACTATTTCAAGTTTTTTGAGCAATGCATATTTTGCTCATTTGATTATATTTGATCCTTCTATTGTAACAACTTCAAAATAGCTTCAGAATAGCATAAATAAAATTAAAAATGTCAATATGTTTGAAATTTGATAAAATTGTATTCATTATGATAAATATTTTATGCTGATATATTGATAGCTGTTTCCAACATTAATTGATATTGTCTTCTTCAACAGTTTTACAATAAACAACAAAGATAGCTTCTTCAGCAACTCTACAAGGAGTAGGATAGTGCACCATATGTTACAGAGAACGAAGTATGAAGATGGAAAACCAAAAATGGGTACAAGTTCATTTTAATATAACAATGCAGGTGTTGGAATTCTTGTTACCAACTCAATTCTTCCAGTAAAAAATGTTTAGTCAATAATGTAAATCCAAGATATTGGGGATTTAAACTGGGACAACAGTGGCAGTTACCAAAATCAGGACTATTTCTGTGTGAGAAAGGAAAGAAAAGATCTACAGGCTACAATACTACAATATCCTCACTCCTGATTGACTTTGACTTGTCCATGTTTTTTATTATTTACTGTTAATGGAACAGAATATGCTGATTCATTATTTATTTATTGAAGTTATATTATGGTAAAATCTCATGACTCTCAACTGATATGCAAGATATGCAAAAATAATTAACATCTCCAGTAGTATGATTAAAACAAATTAAACTAAATAACAAAACCATACAATTAACAAACTACAACAAGTAAAAGATGGTACAGTAGCTGAGCATCATTAGAATGCTGTCTTGAAATCCTTTATTTTTTAACAAACCATTAAGCCATTAAGGAAGGACCTAGCTTCATTTTCACAGGAACCCCATTCCACAGCACCAGTATTACTACTGAGAAGCAGGATCTTTTAGCTTTGGTTTCTCTAATCTTCATGAAGTGTGGGGCTAAGAAGAGTTTCTCTCATTCAGTGCTTTAGTAGGTCCTGGTAATACAGGTTGAAGAAAACATTTCTTCATATACACCAGCATGATCTCAGGCTTGTCTCTTCTGCCCAACCTAGCATATTAGCATTTAGTCCCATTATCTGAGGAGTACAGGCCCACTACCATTTTTTTGCTTCCAGGTCCAATTCAGGGTGCTGATTTTAACCTTTTAACCTTTAAAGTTCTTCATGACCTATATGAGGGACTGTATCTCCTTGGTTACATCAGCCCACCCCATTAAATCTGAGACAAGAGAAGCCATGATGCAGGTCCATCAGCTAGGTTATATATTTGGTGGGTCCTGGTAAACTTGAATTCTCTGTAATATTGCCCAGGTTATGAAACATTCCTCTCCCCAAATAAGCTTTGCTCCATCCCCTTTGAGATTCCAGAAGCCCCTTGGCTATGTCATTAGTCCTGGGGTACCAGGGAACTGGAAATATGCTCAGATGGCCCCGTTGTTGAGGTGGATATTTGTATTGACTCTTTGTATAGGGGTATGTATGTTTGTTTTAGTTTATATTATTTATTTATTTATTAATATAGATTTTTACATATGTCATTTTTTATATTTGTGGGTTTTATCTGATTGTTGTACACTGCCCAGAGTCACTTTTTGGTGAGATCAGCTGCTATACAAGTTTCATATTGAGGGAATTTCTCATCAGTTTAATTCTGAGAAAATTCCAAATAGATCCAAGGTAATCTATCTTCTCTTTTGATGATGAAGCTCTGTGAGAAGTAGATGTTCTCCACTGTACTTCTACTACATGTAGATATCATAAAAGTTAACATCAAGACAGCTTGTTGTGCCATGCATTCCTAGCAATGTTGCTTTTGATCCTTGACTGATATTCTATTGTAAGGCAGAATTCACCAAACCTTAGAATGTAAATGGTGTTTTTAGGCTTGGTGAGACAGATTAATTTTATTTCACTTATGTTTCAAGACATGTTAAAACACGCCTACGCAACAACTATGAACTATTTTTCTTTGCATCTGGCCATCTGCCAGTATGATCAGACATAAAACCCATAAATGTGGATCAGTGCTATGCTTGAAAACCTAATCCTAGTCATAATAATGAGCAGAAGGCTGGTCCTTATATAGGACAGAAAACTGTGATGGCTTACTGTAGAATAATTTTGCTGAAAAACCTTGAGGTAACAAGGACTCAAAGCAACAGTCCTTAGCTAATGTGATTTCAAACTTGAAACAGAGTCATATCTGTATTTTTCTTTTTATTAATGTATAAAGAAAATTGGTACTTACTTATTTTAATATTGATGTTTCTTACCTTTAACATTTCAAATATTTGTAACATGTCTTCTTTCTTTAGGCATCAACAGACTGCTCAGCAATGGAACATATGAAGCTGCATTTCCACCTCATGAGGTAGTTTAAGTAGCAGTGCTTTAAGTGTGATATACCTGTGCTCAATTTGCCTTATCCTCCTGGATCCTGTGTAACATTTAAGTTTATGTTGAGTATTTCTGTTTCTCGTTTCTATAAGGCTTCTCTGAGTGTCTTTTTTTCCCCAGCAATGATAATATGTCTGATGTTATTGTGCAGCAATTACTGTAAGGCTTCTCTGAAAGTTATTTTTTTCCCTGACAATGAAAACATGTCTGATGCTATTGTGCAGTTTTTCTCGGTATTAGACATTTTTCATTGCCTGGCAGTAAGCCTTATCTGATGCTTATTTACTCAGAAACAAGGTACAGTGGGATTTATTCTGTACCAATATCCAAAAGGTTTCAGCCTAAAATATAGAGCTAGTTCCTGTGCTATTTTGAAACTCTTTCCTGAAAAACAGTAAAGCCATAATTCATAGAAGCTGTCTTATACTCATTCTTCCCCTTGAGAGACCAAATTTTAAATTTCTGGCTCATACATTTATGGTTGACATTTTAGATTCTAAAGAATTGCCGCTGATTCCATTATCTGTATTAAACGACTGCTGTGTGTTTTAGAAAGAGAGATAGAGAGAAAGAGAGACAGGGGGAGGGAGGGAGAGATTTAATATTTGTTCTGAAGTCAGTACATAAATACAGTTTTGGTGCAGACAGTTGAATAGAATGCAGCCTGAAGTATACTTTAAGTATATATTACAGAGAAATAGAGGGGAAATTCTCGAAAAGTGGCTTGATGCAGTCCAGTCAAGAAAACATTCCTCAGTGTCCTTACAGATCCTACTTACAATGCTTGGCTGAAGGCCCACTGCCTTGTCATCTTGTCATGACAATGTGGGAGAAGATTGTCTCAGCAAAACAGAACACTTTGCACCATGATGCAAACTAATTCCTTCCTATAAAGCTGACAATGAACCTGAATTGCAATGAGATGACATGCTGTAGCATGTACTTCAATCAGGCATTTGATATATATATACAGCTTTGTTGTTAGCCTGTGTAAGACTACAACAACAACAACAACAAAAATCACAGCAGGAGCACTGTTATTGTATTGCACACACAATCTTATGTCTCTTATGATCAATAGAAGGGGAAAGGGCTTACATACAAACATAATAATATAGCAGGAAATTTCACCTGAATGGTGGTGATTTCCAACTTATTTTCAAGACTATTCACTAAACTAGATTTTCTGAAACTGTATTCTGTGGAACTCTGGGGCTCCCCAAGAACATAAATACACATATAACTTTTATGTATCCACCCATTTTTCAACCAGTTCCGGGTGCTTCCCAAACATGAGTCCCAGGAGAAACTAAGGGCAAAAAGAAGATGAAAGAAAGTTCATGAAAGTGCAGCAATTTTCACTCACTAGAGCTCTTCACCAATGATTCTAGGATTCCTTCATTCAATCATTTGAAATGAATGTCACAGTCTTAGAAAGTTTGAAAACTCCTATTTTATATAGGTACTTTCTATTAGTGTTATGTTATCAAGTGATGCATTTATTTATTCCATGTTTATAGTGCTGCAAATATATATATATATATATATATATATATATATATTTGTTTTTTGAGGTT